TTGGCTAGTGCAACAGAATTTGTACCCAAAAAACAGATTCATCCAAAAAGGAATATACATATGTACTTATGTACATATAAAAGCAATAATTAAATACTTTAATGAGCAGCAGCTCCCAAATTAGTCTGGCATAATTAAATAATTACTGGGAAATAAAAAGAGGCGCTCACATTTCCATTCACAGTCATATGGATACAAACATAGTCATTTGGGAATCACTTACCAACCTCATTTAATTATCGTTTTATGCGTATTCATTGTTGTCGTAATGCCAATTTAGTTAAACGTATGTATATATGTAAAATGTCACCCAGATATATTGGGGCATCCCATTCACACATAGATGTGTGCGTGACTTCTGCGGTAATTATAGCTAGTGCTGCGTAGCAGTAATGCCCAATACATAAATATGTATGTGAATGTGTATGCAAAATATCGTTCAGCTTGCCACCAATCGTGAGCTTGTTTGTGCTATGCATGATCGCTAGTGTACATCGGTAGCATTCATTTGTGCGTGATTTGTAATAAATTTTTGCGGTGAATTCCCTATGTCGCCGCTGCTATTTGTATCTGATGCCGAAAACATTCAAAAATAGTTATAATTACGTGTGAACAATTCGAATGACTGCGTGCACAATGGCGTTATTTGTACCCAAATAGTGTGTAAACCGTTGCCATATTTTTGTACAGTGGCTGCATCTCACAAATACACAGTTATATACATCGATGCATACGTACATATGTATGTAAAGGCTATTTGTTAAAATTTTAGTCTCTGTGACAAATTATTTTACTTTTATCGTAAATTCATCAGAACAGGCTTTTGCATTTTTCCATACTTTTATTTTAATAGAAAAATGTTTGTAAACCAATCAATAGGCAGAAAAGTCAATGAACTGAACGGGGAGCAAACTCTGGGGTGCTGTAGAGAATTTCGTTTACTTAAAACGAGCATTAACACAGATAATAATGTCAGCATCAAAATTTGGACTGAGTAGAAATTCCCCTCTCGACGTACGAAAACACCTCCCTCATCACGCCCGTGCTGAGAAAAAGATTTTTTGGAAGATTTATTGGCCTATACGCATTGGCAACGGCGAGTACCGCAGTCGATGGAACGATGAGCTGTATGAGCTTTATAATGATATAGACATAGTGCTGCAAATTAAAATACCGCAGCTCCGCTGGCTTGGCCATGCCGTTCAAAGGGATACCGGCACTCCAGCTCTGAAAGTATTCAACTCGGAACCCGCTGATGGTAGCAGAGGAAGGGGCGGCTCCCACTGCGATGGGAGTACTAAGTTGAGAAGGACTTGGCTTGACTTCGCATTTCCAATTGGCGTCAGTTGGCACAGAGAAGGAGCAACTGGCGTGCTTTGTTGAACTCGGTAAAATCGCTGAGGCGGGTAGAGAGCCAAAGGAGAAGGATATACAAGTATGTAGGTAATACTAGCACTAGGTGGGTCGAGGGTCGAAATACACAAAGCAATCAAAAAAAAACAAATATAACACAAAAGTTTAAAATAAAATAAAACTTTGTTTTGTTGCGCACCCGAGGCGAGGTCTAAACAAAAGGTTACAAACCAACTCGCACTACCGTCCGTACTGCCGGTGGTAACTTTAATCCGCCGAAATGACTGAGTTCAGGGTGCAAGATCCTAATAAGGATTGCATAGGGAAACACAATAAGGGGGAGTCTACCGACAACAATAACGCCTGAATACAGACGTACAAAGAAGTAATCTTATCGGTGGTCAGTGGGCGTTCCGAATGCAGGGGTTCTTCTGAGGTATATGGTGCGGATCCTAGTACGCATTGACTGGGGCCGCTCCTTCAAAATTTTGCGCCGCAGCAACTCTAGTGCCTCGTCTGGCACTATACGAAAAGTTAATAAATAATTAAAAATAACACTGCACTGAAAACTCTGCTACAATCGCAATCGGGATATTTCCTTGTTCGATATTCGCTTGGTTCTCATCCCTTAAGAAAAATGCTCCACGTCGGGCGCTCTCGTCGTACATGAAGGTATCTTATCTCTGTTTACGTTCAGAGTGAAAAGAGAAACCGATTGAGCCATGGCCGTTTGTCTGTCTGGATGTCCGACCGCGCACACGATATCTCAAGTGCAAATTGAAATATATCGACGAAATTTTGTCCCAAGTTTGCTTTTTCCCCGAAGGAAGTTACTATTGAAAATATTTCAATATTCAAATTTCAAATCGAGTTAGGTTCGATATCGAATGAATTGATTCGGGATCTGATATCGATTTAATAATTTCTACGCAATTTAGTCACACGTTGCTTTTGTTCTTGCCAAAAGGGAAGAAAACTGCATTTTATGCGGCAGTATCAGCATGAGGTAATATCGAGCTTCCCCGAAGGAATTCTAATCGACGGGCAACTTCAGATTCCCACCAGCAGCGGAAACAGCGATTTTAACTACATACATCAACTCTGAAATACCCAGTTCCAAAAGGATATGAATTGATTAGACATACATGCAGATTTTGCATCAACGCTGTGGCCTGAAATTAACTACATGACTGTAATAGTGAAGTATTCTGATATGACCTCAAGTCAATGAACCGAGCTGTTTGATCGTAGCTTAGCTACAGCCTTCAATTGTATTAGCTTCGACCCTAGTCTCAAGTGTTAAACTCCGTTGAGTCTTCCCTTAAAGAAATATAACTTGCATCCCAGCATCGGTGTGTGATGGGCCCGACAGCGGTGAATGTAAAACTTTTTTGAAATCGAGAATTCACCTCTCGGACGGCGGATAAACCAAAAGTCAGAATTTGTTGAACAAATCTTTACAATTTTTTATTTTTTTTTTTTTGGAAAAACATGTTTTCGAAAAATTAAAATATGTATTTAAAATAACCCGGTTCAACAAAACTTGGATGAGTTTGATCTCGAAAACGGGATCGACCACATCCTATAAATTTTTTGAAGTTTATTAAAAATTCGCCTAGTTTTTCAGGAAAAGCTGTTGAGGTGTTCAAAAATGGCAAGGATGGCCATTTAGAAAAAATTAAAAAGAGATTAATTTGGATAAAACAATTCGTTTCATGGATTCGACCCCATGTCGAGGAGTTGAGTGGGAATAAGTGGAAAACCCCAAGAAGCGTAAAAAAAGAGTTTTTCAGTAGCAGGTATTTGTTTTCAATGTGGAAAATAACCTTATCCGACTTTTTAATTTCATTATTATTATTATTCATTATTTTAGGACTTATCTTTACCTTTACCAGGGCATGTTCCACTCATTCCTACTCAACTCATCGACATGGGGTCCATAATGCATATTTTTTTTGTACTTTTTGGAGATGGCAATTTTTCAATGATACGACAGGATTTTTCTGAACGGATTTGAAATCAGCATTAAGAAACTATAAGCCGAGGTTGGTCCCGCCTCGAGATAATGCTCGTCCTATTTTTTTAGTCGTGTTATTCATGAAAACCGTTTTTTATGCTATCGTTTGTCCCCTAAAAAGTCATTATTTCCTTTAAATACTTTAAAGGCGCCTGAAACTAAATATTTACGGATATGAACGCATAAGTTTGTAAGTAGCGCAGCTGAGTGCAGCCGAGCTAAGATTGATGGCGCTTCGGGCCCTTACCATGACTTACATGGCACACAAACTGCAACAACTAAAACTTTATGCGCCGTGCAAACACAGCCACGTTTGAAATGCCATAAAAAAATTCAATTTGTGCCGCATGCTGAAACGATTTACAGCGACTGAATAAAAAGTAATTACCTAGTGTCATACATAGTCTGGCAACACTGGCGCAAGCAAACAATCCTTGTTGTTGCTACATATTTGCTGGCAGCGATTGCAGTTGCAGTGGCAGCAGCAGTTGCGGCAAATAATGATATTACAATCATAATTTATCATAAAGGCAACAGCTGCACCAACGACACAGGCAACAGCAATACCAACAACAACAACGTGTAGTAGCTAAATAAAGTACGTAAGAATTTGTTTGAATTGAAAAGCAAATGCGACTGATGCATTTTTAAAAGCCTGACACAAAAAGGAAGCAGACTATGAGCATCATCAGAGGCATAGAACGCCAACTAAGGCGTAGAAGTGGCGGAGCGCAAAGAGGGGGGGAAATGGATTAATTAAAAAACTTAAAACTACATGCGCCCAAATTGGCTATAAATTCGCATTGCGCCGCTTGTACGTGATTGGCATTTCGGTTGCGTCATTGGTCATCACAGCTCAGCGGGCGAGACGCGTTTGTCAACAAGCAAAACTGCAAAAAACCATGATTTATATGTACGTGTACAAAAGAAGCCGAAAAAAACACAGCAAACAACAAACAAAAAAATATATATAAAATTAATAGAGAAGTGTGCGAGTGGGAGTGCGACTTTTTGTGCACCGCGCTGTTCTTCATAGCTTTTGTGGACTCTTTTTTTTTTGTTGTTGCTGAGCAACACTCGCACTGGCTGCGGCTTCAAATCGAAATTAACATTGAATTTCGCGCTGACTTCGCGCTACCTTTTTTTGCTCTTCCGATTATTTCAACTACTGAATAAATATGTAGTCACTTTAAAGGCCGCGTTAATATTTTTTTGCAAGGCGTTGAGTGTTTGACTACCGGACTTGTTGTTGTTTTTTTTTTGTCAGCAGCGTGCTGTTTCTGACTTTATAACCTTGCAACCGGAAATGTCAGCTGAATGCGAAAAAGAATTCGGAATTCGGAATGCGAAATGCGAAATAAGAGACTCGGAACAAAACATAAAAATCCACAAAGGAATATCGGAACAAATCGGAAGCGGCAAGAGGGTAAAAATTTATATAAATTCAAGTACAGTAAATATTTGTTTTAAGGTTGCACTTGTTTTTGTACGCATAATTTGAGAGCACAACAACAGCAATCAACACAAAAACTGATCATTTGTTTACGGTACTATAAAAGCCAAGTTTGGGTGGTGCAATGCGAATAGTACAATCGAAGNGCACAAACAAGCCAAAGCCGAATAATTAAAAATGCGCTCGCATCGATTAACCGCATTCATTCTGCTGTCACTGGCAATTGCGGCTGTTGTGGCAATGCCACTTAAAAGGCAAAACGCACGCCTACGCCCGCTTGCGCATTCAGCGCGGCAGGTGGTCGCGACCACAGCACAGCCAGTGCAAGCGAAAACAGGCTACCCGCCGAGCGGCTTTCGACCACGTATTCCCTTCGAGTTGCCAAATGAACGCCAGCCCAAAGTGTTACCAGATGTGACCAGTACGACAGTGGCAACAGCGAAGCCGGAAGAAGCGACGACAACACTGCCAGAGGAGACAGCTAGAACTGGCGGCATAAATGTTGATGTAGAGGTAGTTGTCGAGAGCGAAGGCAAAGTGCAGAATGACAGACAAGCACCAAGCACCAACGAAATACCTACTGCTGATGCAGCACACGAAATCGAGGTTGTGGTAGATGAGGTAAACCCAGCGGATGAAGTGGAGGCCCACACACCCGCGATCGAATATGGACCACCAGTGGATGAGACCAATGCGAGCGTAGGTGATGATAGCGCAACAACCGCAGAACCCGTCGGCCACTTTCAGCCGCCAAACCGAGAAGCCGAAGAATTCGGTGCACCCACGCTCGACACGATCGACACTGCCGCTGGCATTGATGCTGGCAGTGCTGCTGGTGATGCTAACGCTGATGCTCCCGTTCAGCCTGTTGCTGATTTTCCAATGTCATCAGCGGCGGCAGCGCCCATCACGCCTAATGTGGCGGAGAGTGAACACGATGATTCGAGCGCTGCGCCAATCGACGTGAGCGGCGAGTTAGATGGGCAAGCTGCAGAACAGCATGAGCCGGCAGTCACCTACGGACCGCCATCGTCAAGCGGGGCTGATGAAGAGGCACGATTACCCGCGGATACCTATGGGCCGCCGGGTGGTGCTGACGCTGATGCTATTACATCGCCTGAAGCGGAGGAAGAGGAGTTCGGTGTGGAACTGAACGAATTGGAGCCTGCGGAAACTTCGGAAGAAGCCGACTTGACAGCAGAGCAAATCGAATTGCTTAACGGCTTAAGCGAGCTGCAGAGTGGACGTCTGATCTTTGTGCCAGCCGATGGCAGCAATTTCCGACAGATTTTTTTCGCAGCGCCTTCGCCACAGCAACGGCGCGCTGGCAGAAATGAACGCTTTGTACGTTTATAGGTTATGTTTTTGTAATGTTAACTGATATTTGTTTTTGTTTGTATGTGTGTAGTGTTTGTAATTAAATATTGAGGAGTGAGAAACAACCAAAAGGTACTACATTTTTGACGAGATACATAAGCTGCAAGACTAAATGCCTTGGTACAACGTCAGCTTGGCTTCAGGACGTACATATAATCGGAGTATCCAAGGATTATAGAGGCGGTTAATGAAGAGCGTATAGTCAATAGACCTCAAATATAAATGCATTCGAAGCATTTTGAGTATTTTCGTGGGAAGATGTTTTAATGGGGCAGATCCCAGGCCCTGAGACGTTGACATTGTCATAGGCGTCGGCAGAACCCTAATAAAAAGAAATGGACAAATGACATGAATAATTACTACCCTGAAATGAGGCTCACCAGCTGAATAACTCAGTGAGAGGGGAGACCAGTATGTTCTCATATTTTCATTTAGGGCGGTCCAAAACTGCACGTGAAAAAGTGAAGTCGAAATTTAATACTATACCCAAAAAATTACTTTATCGATCGCAAAACTTTATTTTATTCAGGGGACTCCCTATAATAAAATAAATATCCAATTATTCAATTGACCATTTTTTCATTGTAATTATAAATTGTAGGTCCGCCAAAAGCTCCTCAAATTGCAATGGGTGCACCCATTACAACCATAAAAAATCGCTAGTATTTATTAAAAGATCACTAGTAATAAGAGATGTTTAAATAAGCAATTGGGTATTATTATTGGAAGTTGTTGTTTTTTCCCCAAACATAATGTATGGAAAACTTTGAGCGCTTTGAGCGACCTCTAAATATTTATTTGATTTAAAAATCCAATCCGATATAGAACAATCCGAGGGATAATAGCATTAAAATTCCGACTTTACTATTTTTTTTTTTGCACCACCCTAATATGCATACAGCTCACACTGTTGGAACGCTAAAAATACACAAAGAAACGCCGAGACGTGGAAATATGTTTGAGTTGTGGATTACGGATCTGTATACCGTTTTGCTAGATCAGTAAAAAATTCAAATTTTAAAGCTTAAATAGTATCCAGCTCTCAAGAAAAGCAATAACTACATATAAAATTACGCACAAGATATAGCTAAGCAATTTCCTTGTGTCAAATTTCAAATTAGAGAAGTACGCAGTTTTAAAGAAGTTTGCTACGCTATCTACTACGCTTTTCTAAATTTTTTTTGTGAAAAAAAGCACAACGCAACCATGGTTGCAACAGAAATATATGCCCGTCCCATTATTTCTTGATGAAAGAGTGAGGCAACAGGCTGTGAAATATCAGATGTCAAAATTCCATAGTCACACACACACACGAAATAATGGCAACTTTTTCTTGACCGTTTTCTTATGGTCTGATTATGCATACTTGGCATAACTTCGCACAACTTCGCATAAACTTCAAACTGTAATTTCGTATGTACTTTGTTTGTATTTTGTATGTATTCCATTACCCAGAAATTAGCAGAACTTTTAAAAACTTAGCGATCTGTTGAGTTTAGATTTTGCTTCACATTTTCTTAAGTTACACTTTTAGTGCACTGGTACAAATGGTTGTGCGAAGTTATGCGAAATATGCATACTCAGACCCTTAGGAGCTGGATACTAAGTTTAATATGGAAAATGTTACTCATACGCCATTAACGAGTATGGCCATGCACGATACGGCGTATGAGTAAAATTATTTCCTGCTTCTATTTCATACAAAATATTATTAAACATTTTCGTTTGACCATTCCAAATGTGTTTATTTACCGGACGATTCACATCGTTTGTTACCTTGATTTTNTTTAGATTTTTTCCTTGTTAAAGTTTGAATTTTTGATATAAATTGATATCATATCATATGATGAATTAATTTGATATGGTTCATGGTTGATGAGGTTCAAAATTATGGGAGATTACCGAGGAGAGTTCTCAACGTGAGATATTTGTGTGCTCATTAAGCTTTTATAGTGGGCATTTGCCGTTAAAATTGGTGCACATATAACAGAGATATACACACATACATACATAATATGTACTAATAAAATAAACAAATCCACATGCATACAAATAAATATCGATATAACTTCACTTAGTGGTAGTGTTTCACGTGCAGTTATGTAGGAGTAGCGTTTACATTCAAAGTTAACAGAGCGCACTGAAAAGTGCAATAACGTGAATGTGGTGGTTAGTGTCGTAAAATATAAATTCCGTACTACACTCTACCTGCCTTAAACTGGCTTTTTGCCACTTACATACATACAAGCACAAAAACAACGAGAGCAAAGCGAACGGCAAGTGTGAAAACATTAAATAAATCTGTGTCGTAGATTTGAGTACATTTCTCATAATTTGCGCAAGATACAACAACGACAACAACAACAACAATAAAAGCAATAGTGCTACAACTACTTTTTACTACCTTTTCACAAATGTACAAACGACAACTTCAGTGTTGTAGATATTCATTTTTGTTTGACTTTCCTGGCCTGCACGCACACAGTCAAACCAAAAGGAATATAAAAGCAAACACATACTCATACGCAATTTTATATGAACCTCTGAAATTTTGTGAGTATACATGTAAGTATGTGTAGAAACTGTACAAGTGGCCGGTAGTCGCGAATGAAAAATCCAACTGCCATCTTCATTCATAAATCTTTCGTAGCTAAAGCCACCACCAGCAACTTGTTAGCCCAAAAGGTATGCTGGCTGGCAAAAGTGGGATTTAGAGGTGTGCATAGGTATGAAATTCGGCATTGAGCAATTTCCGTGGAATGCACTGCGCTTCTAGCGTCTGTGTGTGTGTGTGTGTGTGTGCATTTAAAGTCGTGAGAATGGAGCGTAACGTAAAAAACACAAACAAGAAAAAGCTTACAATAAAAAAGCAGAAACTACAGGCAAAGGAGCTGGAGGCTATTATAGCGGGCTAACGGCCGTTAAGCGAAGCATAAAAAGTCAAATATTTGTTTTATTACCTTTTGCCGTAACATATGTACATGTATGTATACACGTATTAATAAAAATTCGAACTGAAGTTACCTTGTTAGGTTAGGGCCATGGTTTTATTTAAATAGGTTGACAACTTAGGGATTCTTAAGTAAGGCAATAGTAAGTAGTGCAGGTTGGGTTAGTTTGTTTTGGGGGCGGCGAAGACAAGGGACACAATTGGAAATGAACAGTTTGTTCTTTGTGATACCTCGAAATAAAGTGAATCAGAGAACATTAATTTAGTTGGCTAATCTCAATGCAATGCCTGAGAGCTCCTCAGGGTTAGGCAAGAAATGCGAGCCAAAATGCTTCCATCTCAGCGCAGGCTAGTAGAAAGTGCTGAGGCTATACAAAAGAGTTCAAGTAAGATATCCAAGCGTACCGTGTGAAAACTAATCTCGCACAATGGCCTGTCAGAAACACCACCAATAACTAGAGCTGAGGCTTTGTAAGCATAAGGAGCTGCTTTAAATACCGTGGGTTCACCCCAGGCCAGACGGATCTGGCAACTGCGCTTGTTCTGGTTTTTGCTCGAACACAGAACTTTCATGGGGGCTGTACGTGCAAGAGTGTACCGCAGGAGGACAGAGACGTCCCCCATACCCTGTGAAAAGGCTTAAAGGGTGCCGTCCATCAGCCACGCTGTTAACCGCAATGCCATAGGTATTGGTTAGCAAAAAAAAAATAAAAAAAAAAACATAAAAACTGATTTGTAAAAGTTTTGAAAAGTATTCAATATATTTCTGTGTTCATATGGAAAAGTAGCTTATGTCGAAAGGCTGGCTTTAGTATAATGCGGCGTTCCCTTTATTCTTTAAACGTCAAAGAATTTTTTGATGAAACTTAATAAGAATATTGACTTGCTAGTATCGGAGCTATTTCTTGCACGTTTATTTGCCAAAAGTTCTCAACGGCTCACCGCCAGTGAGTCATTCGCAATCGTATGCTGCGAATGCCGATTTATACTAAAGCCAGCCTTTCGACATAAGCTACTTTTCCATACGAACACAGATTTTATTGCAATCCTGGTTTTTGTTCTTTTTTCAATTCATTCAAGCTCAAATCGCGAGCATAAAAAGTTAACAGCATGTTTTGAATCGGTTTCCTATCCATGCAAATGAGTATTATTAAGAAAAATATTAAACTGGTAACAAACTAGTCAATATAGGTTAGAACTCGTTCCAAAAAATTTAAAAAAAAAAAAATTAAAGTTGACCCCGACACGTGGACGCTCTTAGCCAAATACTTCTCTAATTCTACAAAACAAAGCCATTGCAACTACTGCTTATTTACCTTATTTACTTTTTACTATCTGTTACCTTCACTGCGCGCTACCTTGCTGCCAGCTGAGCGGTCAGGTATTCGGCCAAGTTATGCCACGTCGACTTAATGAAAATCCTCGCCATTAACTCTGAGAATGTGACTTTCTGTATTTCGACGATATTTTACTTGACTGCAGTTGCTGTTTTTGGTTTGGGTTGGGTAGTTATGTGGTTGCAGCTTCGTTAAGCAGTCGGTAACTAAAATTGTTGTTGTTGCAGTGCATATGGTTACATGAGCAGTAGCCTAACGATGCTGTCAAATTCTGCAGTTTGTAAATTTAAAGTTTGACGGTAGTTGGGAGCGGCTATTAAAGTTGGACTTGGAAAAGTGGTGTAGAGTATACAAATGTACGAGTATCTATATATGTATGTATCTATATTGATATGAGGTCCATGTGAGCAAATGTCACGAGCTGTTACATTTTTCGACAAAAACATATTTTTGATCTTAGACAGTGCATTAGAGAACAAGATTCCAGCGCGAAGTTGCATTTAAATGAAAACTTAAAAAAAGATGTACTACAAAAAGTAGTACCACGTTACTCGCACGCCTTAACTTAAAAATCATATAATTTAAAATTTGATAAATATTGGTGTGGAAGATTTTTACACGGTATTTCTTATGCACAAATATATTACTTTTTTAATGTATAAAACAATTTTAGAACCAATTTCAAGTGTGCTAATAAAAATAAATTTTTTGTTTCTCAAATCATAGTAATTTTTTACTCAATGTTTCTTTTTTTCATTTG